ATGTATTATACGTGGAGATCATATCCCCCCCTTAAATGTATTATACATGGAGAGCATAAATCCCCCCTTATGTATTATACATGGAGATCAATACATCCCCCCTTATGTATTATACATGGAGATCATATCCCCCCTTATGTATTATACGTGGAGATCATATCCCCCCCTTATGTATATATACGTGGAGATCATATCCCCCCTTATGTATTATACGTGGAGATCATATCCCCCCTTGTGTATTATACGTGGAGATCATATCCCCCCTTATGTGTTTAACCGTGGAGATCATATCCCCCCTTATGTATTATATTACGTGGAGATCATATCCCCCTTATGTATTTATACATGGAGATCATATCCCCCCTTATGTGTTAATACGTGGATCCCCCCCATATGTATTATACATGGAGATCATATCCCCCCCTTATGTATTATACATGGAGATCATATCCCCCTTATGTATTATACATGGAGATCATATCCCTCCTTATGTATTATACGTGGAGATCATATCCCCCCCTTATGTATTATACGTGGAGATCATATCCCCCCTTATGTATTATACGTGGAGATCATATCCCCCCCTTATGTATTATACATGGAGATCATATCCCCCCTTATGTATTATACATGGAGATCATATCCCCCCCTTATGTATTATACATGGAGATCATATCCCCCCTTATGTTATTAATTATTCAGGTATTATACATGGAGATCATATCCCCCTTTATACTAAAAAGAGAAAATATTCCTGTACCAATACAAAACTAGTGATGATCTAAATTGCTGCTGTGCAATGTGAAAAACACAAACAGTGATAGATATAAATAAAACAGCGCAAATATAGACCTCTAAACAAATATTAAAGTACACTTAAAATAAATCACAAAACATAAATGTCCACTTATAATTGGTGAGTATCTCATATCCTATATCTTTCTCCAAAAAAATAATAAAAAACACCACAGGACCGTGTGTGATGAAGACTGGGGATTCCAAACAATCTTAGGATCAAAAAAGCTTCCACCTTCCACCCGTGCACACCAACATCAATTGCACTCACCAGGGGCGGACTGACCATTTGGAAACTCGGCACTGCCCGAGGGCCCGGGGTCAGTAGGGGCCCCATGAGATGCCCCTTTTACCTTTTTCATAGGCTTTTTTGATTTTGGGCAAGGACACGGGCCCCATGATCCCCTATTGCCCGGGGGCCCCCATGAGTTGTCAGTCCGGCCCTGGCACTCACCAGATATTGGTGAATGAGAAGCCTTTAGGGATTTTTAGGGATCCTAAACCCTCTTTTCATCTTTTCTATAGTATCCTTACACCACCAGGTTATGATCTTCTTTCAGGTCCCCACCACAGCTCTCTGAATTGCTCCACCGTGTCACCAGGGAAAAAAATTTTATATAGTGTAATATTACCAGATCAATAGTAGAGATAAAAGACAAAATCCAGGCCACTGACATTCTAACAACTTGTAAAAGGCACATTTATTGAACCAATACCAGCCAGATGATAACAACCAGCTCACAGCCCCATAATCCAGGATTCTCACAGCATATGTAACCAGATGGAAGAGAGGATCAGCAAAGAAACCAGCATAAATCCCAAAAATGGCCGCTGGAGCGCACCGCTCGGCGTGCGTTCCACTCACCGGAAGTGACGTCAGACGTATGCAGTGTAAACCCGGAAATGCGTCAACGCGTTTTGCCCCTCCCATCGGGCGTTCTCAAGATGTGCATCTCCTGTGTCCAGTCTTTTAAATAACCCAAATGGAGCCCACCCCTCAATTTTGATTGGTCAGTCTTCCTCCCTGGGAATAATGAACACCGCACCCCACCCCTTGCTTATTGACGTGAGAAACCTTTACTAGGAAACTACATACATTGAAAGAACTCTCATCAAGGTCATTTAATATGATAAACAGATTCTCTTTACATACATACAATCAAGTATATATGTATACATACATAAATGTATATCTGTCAGCAAAGGTTCAATAACTAAAATAAAAAATATAATAAAAAATATAATTGACAATATATAAATGAAAAATATATTAATATTATTATACAGTATTTATATAGCGCCAAAGGGTATGCTCAGCGCTGTACAGTAGCAAGGGGACAGAACATGAGACAAGACAGAAACAATACAATACATGAGGGGTTCGAGGGCCCTGCTCTTTCGAGCTTACAATCTAGGAGGGAGGGGAAGGGGGTACAGGAGGAGATGGCTGTGGGAGATGGAGTGGTGGGAGGAGTGGAGGAGGTTAGTTGTTAGGTGAGGTTAGGTAAGGTTGGGGTAGGCTTCCCTGAAGAGGAGGGTTTTCAGGGTGCGCCTGAAGGTGAGGAGGGTGGGTGACAGTCTGATGGATTGGGGTAGGGAGTTCCAGAGGATGGGGGAAGTCCTAGAGAAGTCCTGCAATCGGGCGTGGGGAGGAGGAGACCAGGGAGCTAGAGAGTAGGAGGTCCCGTGAGGAGAGGAGGGCATGGGTAGGGTGGTATTTGGGTATCAGGTTGGTTAGGTAGTTTGTGAATGACCTTGTAGGTCAGGGTTAGCAGTTTGAATTTGATGCGTTGGGCAATCGGGAGCCAGTGAAGGGATTGGCAGAGGGGGGAGGCAGATGTGGAACGGTTGGTGAGGTGGATGAGTCTGGCCGCTGAGTTCAGGATAGGCCAGTGAGAAGGGAATGGAGTGGGGGATAGGATAGATTCGTTTGGGTAGGCCAGTGAGAAGGGAATTGCAATAGTCCAGGCGTGAGATGATGAGGGAGTGTACGAGTTGTTTGGTGGTGTCTGGGGTGAGGAATGTGCGTATCTTGGAGATGTTGCGGAGGTGGAGCCTGCAAGATCTAGATAGCAGTTGGATGTGGGGTAGGAAGGAGAGGTGGGAGTCCAGGGTGACACCCAGGACTTGGCGTGTGGGGTGGGAGAGATGGTGGCGTTGTTCGTAGTGATGGAGAGGATGGGGGGGCGCGACCAGGGGGGGGAGATTACCAGGGAGCTCTGTTTTGGATGAGCTCTGTTTTGGACAGGTTAAAGTTTGAGGAAATGGAGCGACATCCAGTCTGATATGTCGTTTAGGAGGTGGGCGATGCGGGCAGAGAGTGAGGGGGTGAGGTGGGGGGTGGAGAGGTAAATTTGGGTGTCGTCGGCATAGAGGAGGTAATTGAAGCCGTGGGAGTGAATAAGTTTGCCAAGGGAGGAGGTGTAGATAGAGATTATATAAAAAATAATATATTAAACAAAAATAACAAAATAGATTCCAATCCTTTATTAAACAAAAATATTTATAAAATAATATAATAAAACCTACATTAAAAAATATATATAAAAATATATAAACAAATCAATATATATATATATACATGTAATAATGCACGGAATGTTAGTTTTAATATTACGAATTGTATAAAAAACAATATCTATGTCTGAATTCAACCCTTTAGGATGCAAAGAACCCAATTGATAGATCCACTTTGTTTCGTTCTGTGAGATACTCTTCACCATATCTCCTCCCCTCCAAGGGGAAAAAAACTTGATCTATCCCACAAAATCTCAAACATGATGGATCCCTGTTATGATGTATTCTAAAGTGGTAGGAGAAATACTTTATTGAATATCCTTACATCATGATTCCTCTTTAACCATTAGCCGCCTGGCCTATAGCTGTTTGGCGGCCACAAAAATGCTGCAGCTTTCCGGTGTATACGCCATTTGGCGTCCTCCCGCACATGCGCAGTTCACGCGTTTGCAGAGCCGCGCAGCAGCGTGATCTGTCACCTGCCGTGTACCTCGGACACGGCCGATGACAGATATGAGTACCGGCCCCTGTTGCCTGTACCATGTGACCTGCTGTGACCAATCACAGCAGGTCACATGACAGTTGTATACAATGGATGGCTTCATTCATGCCATCCATTGTATACTAGTGTCTAGCTATGAATGGTCACAGCAGGTCACATGCACATGTCATGTGATTAGCTGTGGCCAAATACCAGCTAAGCACAAAAAAAAAAAAAAAAAAAAACCTGAATGAATCGATGTCATTCAGGTAATGCTTGCTTATAGCAAAGTAATTCTTTGCTATAAGCAAATTGTGTAAAAAAAAAAATACTGATCACTTCCCCAAAGTAGTACAATGTTACTATCTTAACATTGTACTACTTTGGTCATAGTAAAATATGAAAAAAAATCTTAAAAAAAATATATAATAAAAAATTAAAAAAAAAAAAAAATATATATATATATATATTTATATATATATATTTATTTCATACTGTCACCAGTCAGTGTCCCTGATCACCGCTATGCCAGTTATATGATGACGCTGTACTGCACTGGTGACAGTATGTAAAAAAAAATAGTAAATAATTTTTTTTACTTTTTTCATTTTCCAAAAATTTTGACAAAAAAAATACAACTTCAAAAAACTCGCCATGTCTCTTATGAAGTACGTCGGACTGTCTACTCTACAAAAAGGGGGGTCATTTGGGGGATATCTGTCCTGTCCTGACATTTGGGGGATATCTGTCCTGTCCTGACATTTGGGGGATATCTGTCCTGTCCTGACATTTGGGGGATATCTGTACCGTCCTGACATTTGGGGGACATCTGTCCCATCCTGACATTTGGGGGATATCTGTACTGTTCTGACATTTTGGGGGATATCTGTATGTCCTGACATTTGGGGGATATCTGTACCGTCCTGACATTTGGGGGATATCTGTACTGTCTGACATTTGGGGGATATCTGTGTCCTGACATTTGGGGGATATCGATATCTGTACCGTCCTGACTTTGGGCGATATCTGTACTATCCTGGATTTGGGGGATATCTGTACTATCCTGACATTTGGGGGATATCTGTACCGTGCTGACATTTGGGGGATATCTGTACCGTTCTGACATTTGGGGGATATCTGTACCGTGCTGACATTTGGGGGATATCTGTACTGTTCTGACATTTGGGGGATATCTGTACTGTCCTGACATTTGGGGGATATCTGTACTGTCCTGACATTTGGGGGATATCTGTACCGTGCTGACATTTGGGGATATCTGTACCGTTCTGACATTTGGGGGATATCTGTACCGTCCTGACATTTGGGGATATCTGTACTGTTCTGACATTTGGGGGATATCTGTACTGTCCTGACATTTGGGGGATATCTGTACTGTCCTGACATTTGGGGGATATCTGTACCGTTCTGACATTTGGGGGATATCTGTACCGTTCTGACATTTGGGGGATATCTGTACCGTCCTGACATTTGGGGGATATCTGTACTGTTCTGACATTTGGGGGATATCTGTACTGTCCTGACATTTGGGGATATCTGTACTGTTCTGACATTCTTGGACCTCAAGAAATTAGATTGGCTGTCAGTACTTCAGGATTGATCAATATTCAGATCTATACCATAGTTTGTGAACTCTATAACTTTCCTACAAACTAAATAATACATCCTAATTTGGGTTATTTTCACCAAAGACATGTAGCAGAATACATCTCGGCCTAAATGTATGAAGAACAATTATTTATTTGTAAACCTTTATAACAGAAACAAAGAAAAACGTGTTTTTTTTTTTTTTCAAAATTTTTGGTCTTTTTTTGTTAATTTAGCAAAAAATAAAAACTCCAGCGGTGATTAAATACCACCAAAAGAAAGCTCTAGTTGTGTGAAGAAAATGATAAAATTTTAGTTTGGGTACAATGTTGTATGACCGCGCAATTGTCATTCAAAGTGTGAGAGCGCTGAAACCTGAAAAATGGCCTGGGCAGGAAGGGGGAAAATTGCCCGGTATTGAATTGGTTAAAATAGCCTTTATCAGAATATCCAAACTTCTCAGAGTTCCCTGGTTCCTCCACATGAACTTCTATGAGGTTTTTCCAGATTCTAAAATGGCCACCAGATCACTTCCAGTTCCTCTATGCGACATCACTTCCCTTGGCATGTTTTGTCTCGAATAAGTAACGATGTAATCATGATGTAAGCATATATTCAATAAAGTATTTTAAATTGTATATGCAGGCTTACGCTATGATTTATTCTCTTTTTTTTTTTTTTAATTCAAATATTTATTAATTTTTCATATATATATATATATATATATATATATATTATATATATATATATATATATATAAAATAATATATAATAAAAAAGGGAAAAACGAAATAAAAAACAAAAAACATTTCTTCAACAATCTCATATAACATATAAAATTCTTAATCCTATCCCCTTCTATTTTCCCCTTTTTATATCCCTCCTCCCTACCACATCCCACCTCCCACCCACTCTGCAATTCTCTCCTACATCTTTCCCTAAAAAACCAAGTAACTTCACTTATCACTTCCCATTGCTTCACATATATTCGTTTTATGTACAAAATCTTCCCATTTCCCCCATCTCCTATTGTATACCTCCATCTTGTCTTCTTGGATATAGTATAATTTCTCCATCCACCTAATCTGATTCACTCTCTCTACCCAATCCTTTTCTCTCGGCACCTCTGCACTATGCCAGAATTTAGGTATCAAACCCTTTGCTGCATTCACATAGCACCATATACCCAAATCCTTGTATTTATTTACTGGTAGCTCTGTATTATGTAATAAACACACATCTGGATCTAATCCTATCTTTAGCCCTGAGATTTTCCTTATTAAGTTGACCATTGTCTCCCAGAAGCTTTGGATCTTTGGGCACTCCCACCATATATGAAACCACGTACCAATCTTTCCAGGCCCCCGCCAACACTCTGGTGCTCTCTCCACACCCATTTTATGTTCAACACTCGGTGTGATGTGCCATCTTGCCAAACACTTATAATTTACCTCATCTCTCTCATGCTGACATTTTCGTGTGTAAGTCTATATATTTTCCTCTGTTTATCCTCATCTATCTCTATTCCCAAATCCTTTTCCCATTTTTCTATATACATTGGTTTTACTTCCGTGACTAACTCAGTGAGAATCTTATAAATGTTTGCCGTACCCCGTTTCCCATCTCCTCGTGATTCCAACAACCTCTCAAACAAATTCCACTCCTTTCTCCCTCTCATAGGTTTCGGAAGACCCTCGACAAAGTGTTTTAATTGGTGATATTTCCACTCATCAATCTTAATGAAAAGTTCCCCTCCATCTTTCTTTAACCGCTTGCCGCCCTGCAAGTGTATATACGTGTGCAGGGCGGCAGTGGAGCACAAAAGCACGTTTTAAAACGGGCTCCGCGCTCCCGACACTTTCGCGGGTAGGGGGCACGCGCTCCCGCCGACCCGCGGGTGACACGATTCGATCCAGGAGGGATCAATCATTAGATTTCAGCCAGTGATTTCTGGCTGAAATCGGATGATCGGTCCCTGTCCTATCCTGTCCTGTGTTGACATTTACACAGGGCAGGATATGATGTCATTCTTCTCTGCCTGGACACATTCCGTTCCAGACAGAGAAGAAGACATCCAAAAAGTGAGTACAAAGCACTACACAGACAGAACACACCTAGGACACATTTAACCCCCTGATCGCCCCCCCCCCCCCCCCCCCCCCGAGTTAGCGCCCCTCCCAGATAGTGCCAGATTGCCCGCCAGTACACCAGTAATCCCGTTTAACCCCTTGATCACCCCCCCCCCCCCCCCAGTTAACCCCTTCACTGCCCTGTCACCAGTGTCACTGACCAGTGAACCAATTTTTACTGATCACTGTATCAGTATCGCTGGCGACTTCCGATAGTATTAGTGCCCCTCCCAGATAGCACCAGATTTCCCTCTAGTACACCAGTAATCCCATTTAACCCCTTAATCTCCCCCCCCCCCAGTTAACCCCTTTACTGCCCTGTCACCAGTGTCACTGATCAGTGAACCGATTTTTACTGATCACTGTATCAGTGTCGCTGGCGACTTCAGATAGTGTGTTAGCGCCCCTCCCAGATAGCGCCAGATTGCCCGCCAGTACACCAGTAATCCCGTTTAACCCCTTGATCACCCCCCCCAGTTAACCCCTTCACTGCCCTGTCACCAGTGTCATTGATTACAGTGAACAGATTTTTACTGATCACTGTATTAGTGTCACTGGTGACTTCCAATAGTGTTAGCGCCCCTCCCAGATAGCGCCAGTTTGCCCGCTAATGCACGGGATTTTTTTTACCAAAAACATGTAGCAGAATACATTTTGGCTTAAATTTATGACTAACTTTGAGTTAACGATGTATTTTTTATAGCTGAAAGTAGAAAATATTGTTTTTTTTTTTCAAAATTTTCGTGGTTTTTTTGAATATAGCGCAAAAAATAAAAAAATCGTACAGGTGATCAAATACCACCAAAAGAAAGCTCTATTTGTGTGAAAAAAAGGATGTAAATTTCGTTTGGGTACAGCATTGCATGACCGCGCAATTATCATTTGAATTAGTGCAGCGCCAAACAGCAAAAAAAGGCCTGGTCATTAAGGGGGGTAAATCCTCAGGTGCTCAAGTAGTTAAATCCTTCAATGTTTTCAATTTCTGTCCATCCATTATATCCCTTAGTTGAATATCCTCCTTTTTAAACCATTTTCCCACACTCCCCTCCATACCTGGTGGAAAATACTCCATATTCCTTAGTGACATTAATTGTGAATTAAAATCCCATTTCATACACTTATGTAAATTATCCCAAACCTTTAAAACATTCAGTGTATACACACTCGTGGTAGCTTTTAAACCTCTGTATTGTGCGGGTGCCCTTATGCTTCTACTCAGATCAACTCCACTCAGATCATTCTCTATCTTAACCCACCTTTTCCCCTCTGTATTGTGTGTCCAATCATAAATTCTTGTTAGAACTACAGCATTATAGTACCTCTTGAAATCTGGCACTCCCAATCCCCCCCTCTCTTTACTTCTACTCATCAGGTCATAAGATATTCTAGATTTTTTATTTTTTCCATATAAATCTTGTTATCATCTTTTTAATTTCTTTAAAAAAGGCCTCTGGGAGTCTAATTGGGATCATCTGAAATTTATACAAGATTTTAGGTACTATTACCATTTTTATCAGATTTATTCGTCCTAACCAAGAGGGGTTTCCCCCTCCCAATTTCTTCAGTTCCTCCTTAATCTCATTTAGAAGAGCAATATAGTTCAATTTATACAATTTTGTATATGAAGCAGTAAGTTTAACCCCTAGATATTTTATCTCTCTATCTCTCCATATAAAAGGGAATTCTTTTTGTATCTTTTCTTTCTCACTATTTGGAAGATTTACATTTAAGATCTCAGTTTTTGTTGGGTTGATTTTTAAATTTGATAATTCCCCATACTCCTTTAAGCTTTTTATTAAATTTGGGAGTGTTATCCTAGGATTTCCCACATAGAACAACAGGTCGTCCGCAAAGGCTGCCACTTTATGTTCAGTTTCTCCTATTTGTATTCCCTTTATGTCTACGTTCTTCCTAATTGTTTCCAGCAAAGGTTCCATTGATAACACATACAGCAATGGGGACAATGGACATCCCTGTCTTGTCCCATTTGACATCCCTATGGGCTCAGACTTTTCACCATTAACCAGAATAACCGCGGAGGGCGCTCTATACAATTTTCCTATCCACTCCCTCATTCTACCACCTACTCCCATAATCTCTAGGGTATCCATCATAAAGCTCCAGTTTACTCTATCGAAAGCCTTTTCAGCATCGATCGAGAGCACCATTACCGGGGTTTTCCCCTTCCTAGATTTCTGGATCAGCAACATAGTTCTGATTCCATTGTCTCTACCCTCTCTCCCCGATACAAATCCCACCTGATCTCCCTGGATCCATTCTGGCATTAAATCTTTCATCCTATTTGCTAAGACCTTTGCGTATAGCTTCGTATCTATATTCAGAAGTGCGATTGGTCTATAGTAGCATTGAGTAGCGTCCTTCCCTTCCTTTATGTATAAGTGCTACATGGGCTTGTAGGGATTCCTGTCTAATCTCCATTTCTCCACCCAGGGCGTTCATATAATCCTTCAATTTAGGTATTAACAGTTCGCTATATTTTTTTATAATACCTCACGGTATAAATGTCTGGGCCAGGGCTTTTCCCCGCCTTAGTATTTTTTAATGCTATTTTTATTTCCTCCTGCGTGATTTCTAATTCCAGGGACTTCAATAGATCTTCATCTAGCTTCGGTAGTCCTGCATTTTTTTAAATATACCCTTCTTTTTTCTCTACTCACATCTTCACCTTTATTTACTAAATCCTGA